GAGATCGAGCATCTCCTGTCCTTGACCGAACAAGAATCTCATTTCCGATTGGAGACCCAACATTTGGGACAAACAGTCTGGCGCAAATCCCGCAGAGCTTGCTGATTGTCTATCTGGGTCGGGAATTTCGGCCTTTTGTTCCAACCGATTTGGGTTATATGTGGAATCTAAGTTTCGTGTGAAAAGGGGAAAACGAAGTAGAAATGAGGACAACATAAATTGTTGGGGTGAGGCAAAAAGCTACTCATGAGCAGTACGTATATGATGATAAAAGATTTCAAAATATGGTAAAACATTTCGGAACGGTTCAAGGAGATAACACGAAGGGAAAGGTTCCTCAACGTGCTATTGTCGTTGCATCAAATGGGCTGGGCGTACATCAGTCATTATCCGCGAAATGTAAACAGAGTAATAACTCTGATTTCTGAAATAGAAGTTTTCTTTATGGGGAGATTTGGGTTCCGACTGTCCATATCTTGCAATTTTTATTTGCATCTTTTCATCTGTGGTTGAATGACGACAGTGACAGTGGTCTCCCTGACCCTAGATAAACTGTTTAAATATTCCAGTATAATTCATCCCGCAGAAATTAACACAGGATACGAACTGAAACATACAGAAACGTGATCCCAGCGTAAGATCAACGTGAGCTAGTCTAATTGTAGAGCAGAACTTTATACCGTGTGACATTTCCGCGACTGATAAGCGATAGGGAACAATTATTATAGCAGGGTACTGTTTCAAATTATACACTCTACCTCAAACAAAACCGGCACGAGCTGATGAACCGTGTTGAAACTTATTTAATGTCACAATTGAACACCTACCGAATGACGTCGAGATCAAATTGGTGAACAGACAATAAACACGCTGAGCCAAAACTCGATGAAAATCAGACCGCAAGTGTACAAGTGTGACCCAGTGGCTCGTAAGAGTTTCCAGTACTCTTGTCAAACGAAACAGCAGATGGTCTGTCAGTCGAATAGCATTATCCCAGCGGAAGAGTGCACAAATTTCCGATTCTCGTCCCACGGGGGATTCCTGTAAGCGTATCGCTACCGATTCGTCGTCGTCTTCCGCCTTTTTATGCTCATCTTTTTTCGAGCTCACTAAAGGTATGGATAGTGAACAACGAGCCTCGTCAAACCACTGACTTCTAACAGTATTCAATTGATTCTGTAACGGTAAAAAGGGAACGCGAAAGTAGCATGACGTTTTTAACAAAGTTAGAGATGAGACCAGAAGTGAAGCAATGTAAATAGATAATGACCACCATTCCTGAAGCTATGGTGGACTACTGATCATTGCACGCTCGAATGAGATCAAAAAAAGATACCTTCAGATGAAAGGTTTGAATAATCCCACGGTAGCATGAGAGAACGAGTTGGTGAGCGAACAGTTGATTTCGGACATTCCTAGTCATGCTCTTACACATCATATAGTGGAAAAATGCTTACATGATGATAGCCACTGACTCAATTTACGGTCATAAATTGGGGACAGAAAGTTGTGCGTATGTGTGTATGTGGGAGAATGTTTAGTGTGTTAGTTGATGTGACCTTCCCCTACTTAGGTCAAGTGCCACGTCATGTTCTGTGATCATTTTCACAGTAGTCCTAGGCGAATAAATCAGTCGTTTTTTGGGCACACAAGTTGGAGCTTAGTAAGATGAATCATATAGAACGATGATCTGGTATATTTCATTTCCGTCCTTGCTCGTGTATTTATTTTGCCCGGATCCAACAATGTAATGGAAGTGTCAAAACAGTCCATCAACATAGTATTTCCAAATCGCCATTTTCTACTGGTGACACAAACAATAGTTAGGAGGGAATGGGGGCTCAAAGTTAAGAATATTTCAATCGTAGATAGAGGGGAATGGTAAACTGGCAAGGGATTGCAATAAAAACAATCAGTGATCGGGCATCTCGTTTATTTCACGACCCATCCATCATCAGTCGTGTTTGCACGAGATCTTTAACTACAACCTTCGTACCGGATTTGAATCGCTTCCCTTAATTGTTTGATTGCGTATATGTTCAGTGGCTGGCCCAAACTCGTTCAGAATGAAATGGAATTTTACGGTTCAGGGCGATGAACTGTGGCAAAATAGACAATCCGAGGACTGTGTGCAACAAGGATGATGACAATGACAGTGGCGGCGGTCAAAACAACCGCCTTTTTTGTTTCACCGGCGAAAAGCGACTACTCAGATCATTCAAATTCAAAAATCAGCTGAGTCAGAGCAATTGGACTTCGATCGTGGACATAAAACCGACCGAAATCAGAGGGCGGCATCATCATGTTCAACGGGGTGTACAAATTCAACTTTAATACATGAATACTATTTCCTTTAAGGAATTTTAGTGGATTAAAGTGAATCAACCAATTTCATTTGGATGTACTGTTATGCAGCAGTGATGAGAAGATACTCCGGTTCTCGACTGAACACTCAGAAAAGACAGTCAAGTGGTATGGGTCAACAGTACAGAGTTCGTGGATTCAAACCGCACACCAGTCAGCTGACATATTGTTATATTATGTACCATCGTGATCGCTATCCGTCTTCGAAAATCAGCTACACGTAAAACAATAAAAGAAAGCATAAAAAATGTCACTCGAATCAAACCAAATCTGAGCAAAGTAAATCCAGACGGACGATCCAGACAAAGAGGGATAAGAATTAAGATGCTGTGTCCCCGAAAGCCTCACTACGGTCCGGATTGGGTGTCTCAGGTTTTGGCTGGTCACCCTTCCTTTGCACCTCGCGCAATGCTCCCATACGACCAAGCGTCTCAAAGTCTCTGCTGAGGAAGCAGCGTCCATGACAGTAGTCTAAAAATACGTGTTCTGTTTTGCGGTGTCAATATTATTGATCGACCGGATTGGATTGGATTGAAGCGTGCTGCTGACAAACCATGCGCAAAATAAACCACGCTATGCTAGTGTGCGATCGTTTGGCTTCCTTACTAAGAGAGCTTTGTATCAGCAAGTGTTCCATTCAGTTTGCGATTGTATACGAAACACGGAGATTTGCGTCAGTTCTCTGACGTAAGCTGAGCGATCCTAATCCTGAATCTGGTTACCGTTACCCATCATTGACAACGAATCAGTAGTTCCAACAGATGGGATACTTTTTCAATTTATTGATTTTACCTATTCCAGTCTCCCCGAGGATGGGCAAGGTCGTGTTCTCACTCCAAAAAATGCTCTCCTGAAGTGTCGCTTGAAAAAATCTGCTGAGAAACACGTGGTGATGATGTTTTCAATGAAGAGGATGGAAATTAAATGAGTGAGTTTATTGTAGGGTTTATCAGTTATGGGTGACTAGCTCATTCGAAAGAACTGAAAAATATTGACTTCAAACCTTCCAAGAAGCGGGATACCAACTGGATCTATTATATCCTAGTTGTTCCATTTCGTCTGAGTTTGGCAACTTGCTTGCAAACGTTTCATCACCAGCCGAGATGACATCATCAGTGCTTGCAAAGTAGCCATATCCCAGTTGTAATGATTATTGGCTCGATTGGAAGAGTAAAGCCTATATCGAGGATGGGAAATCCGACTAACTGGACACAGACCTCCTACAAACTGTAATTTTCACTCACCGTCTCACCTCCTTGCTGATCCGGGTGACCGGTTGATCCATCTTCATTCATTCACTCGATCTATGCAGTCGATTTCAGCTGGCACAATATCACATGGTAAGAAGCAATTTGGAAGCGAATACGTGTAAATTACTATGAATTATCAAACTCATTAGCGGAATGCGATCCCACATAGAAGATGGAAGGTCAGTCTCATGAAGCTCACAGATGAACCGAAGGGAAGGACTCACGTAAGTATGGAACAAAAGCAAAACAAACCGAAATCGATGAGCCAATAAATAGAACTTACTTGCATTATGAGGAGTAATCGAACCACATCGCTGACAGAATTCACAACTTTGTCTGTCGACAAACCGGAATTTAATTCCACGTTCAGCTCTGATTGAGCTTTTTCTAGGAAACTTTGCAGCATTGAATTTGTGGTAGAATCAATCCCGAATTGATGTGAACTGGATGACGGGTATTCAGTAGCTGAGGCTACCCGTATCGCAGGAGGTGTATGAAGCGGAACAACCTCTCCCCTGTTTGCCAGCTGCACGCAAACTGCATGCTGATGGGACCACATTTTCAGACTGAGATTCATCAGTTGGTCAAGATGAGCATAACGAGAGAGCAGATCGTGACTGTGCAAACGGAACCAATTTACGCACCGCGGAGCGGTCCACGTTTGTTGGATGCAACGTATTGTGCGCTGTACATCGGTTAACGTCCCACAGACTTCATGGCGTAGTATGTGCTGTTGTGCGGTCAATTTGATCAACGGCAGCATTGAGGGAACAGAAGGATTAGCGTGCGCCTCATCCTCGGGGCTTAGTGATCTGAGCAGATGATAACACTGGACAGCACAACGATTGAGACCGTGGTAAGCACGAGTGTAGGTTTGTGAGTAGCTGAGCGATCGGGAGGCAATCTGGGAAAGGTTGGCCAGAACGTGATCCGCTCGGGACACTAGATCTTGTTGAACGAGAGCGTACTGATGCAGCATGTGTTCAACGGTGGCCTAAATGTAGTTCGATCCGAAAACAGAAAAAGTTAAACCGGGTGAAAGATAAATTTCAATTGTTGCCAAAAAGAGTAAACGGAAGAATATCTACTTGGCTTGTTATCTTTTACATAATGGCTTATAACGTACCTTTTGGTCATCCAAAATGGCAGAAATGCTCCGGCAGTCACCATCCGAAGGATGAGCCAACTGATTATAGAGCCCAATAGCCGTCTGGCGGAATTTCGTATACAAGGATGCTTTGGATGCGTCCGTTGATCCTGAGTCACCGGCACATTCGAGCCATTCGTTTCGACGCGATCGAATTTGAGATGCCAAGTGATATACGGCGCACACCATTCGATACGCGACACTGATCCGGTCCAGTGGTAGGGGATGAAACTCTGTGGCCGATTGGATCAAGTGATCCAGCTCACCGTGAGTGACATTCAGTCGGTTACGGATGGCTCGTAGCTGACACCAGCTGTTTGCTAACTGTTGTGTATAACGTGCTGGAACATTGCACGTGTTAGCTTCCTCGTTGTGAACCAATAAGTTACGGATCAAACGTGCCTGGTCGTGCAGTTCGCTCGCTTCGAACGTTGGAATGAATACAACAATCGAATCGTCTCGAGCAGAAGATTGTGGAATGCATATGGTGTGACTATCCCTACTGGCCTGACACAGACTAGTTCTTATTTGATCTAATCGCTCCAAAAAACTGTTCTGCTTTCGTTGCAAAGCCTGTAATTGAAAAAAAGCAATACAGATAAGAGAATCCATGCATGGGTCCAGTGTTCAAAAAAGGTGGCATATCAAAAATAGATTATTCCATGCAGCATTACGCAAACGATTACCGGATAAAAATATCTTCGTGTTCGCATATAAGCTCTCCATTTATCCTATGCGAATTAGCAGACATTTTTGATCTGTGAATTGCTCCCATTCTTTGGGTCACAATCCATACCAAGTATCGTATTTCAATATTGCCTGATTCTAGACCACGTGTCAAGCCAGTCATTGCACAACGATCTTTATTACAAAGCCGTCAGTTCGTGATTTCCTCGTGAGCGAGAATACTGCCATACTTGGGAGATGCACAACCGTTACGTTCAGGTATCAAAAACCTGACCGTCAAGGCACTGAAGAGGGGTGTAAAAGTGCAATCCATTAGGGGGCTATGTTCAGTTCCGCGGACACGATCAAACGTCCAGCACACGTTGATGCCCAAGCAGGCCGATGACTGTAGTCTGAACTAAGAACGTGTGGATGCGGTCGGTGTCTCTCTACTTGGTTGATTTAGAATCAGAGGTTTCAGCAAACTAACTCAGTTGAACTGCCAGTGGTTCACCAATGCGATTAAAGCCCCGGATGTTGGCATTTGGTCGTTTCATTTTTGCGGGTCAAAAACCGCTGTCACGAGATAATGAATGTGGTTAACTCTGAAGAAGCCATTCAAGATGCCCGGTTGTAGAGGAGCAGTTGGTGAGACGAAAGGGAGAGACCAGTCAGAACCAATGAAACGGATCCGAGATCAGAGGAATTCGCCAATACCCCACCGGTTTCAAACATGATATTAGTGGTAACGATGTGTGCAGTGGTGGAAAGAGCACAGGGCAGGATGCATCAACATAGTTGATGAAAGTCATCTATCGCGTAGCGATTTCGTGGGTCGCTTTGGGTCCTAACCCAAAGGTTCGCCGTTTTAGTCCCGGCGAGGACACAGATGTCGAATGCACCTCTGATGGGACGCTACAAAGACGAAAGAGATGTTCAGTGCCCTATGTTGGCATTGCACAAAACCAATTTCGTAGTTCTGTTCTACTCACTAAAATCTAATAAAAGCTCACATTTTGATGAAAGATGTACACCAAAGACTTCGCTAATAGCGGTGGAAATGTAGCCAATCCTTTTTACACGAGTTCAATAGACTGTTCAGATTTTGAGTATGCGCCGCTTGTGCTGGTGATCCACTGAGAATTAGGCCGGAAAATCTACTTGAAGCTTTTTAGTAGTCCACGCAAAAAGAGCTCCCTACTAGTTTGCTCTTTTATCAACCATTCCGCCAGTCTGTAAGCTAACGTCCAATCGCTTATTGGTCCGAACGAATCCTGAATTTGCATGAGTTTATTTGTTGACTGATCAGCAAACGGATTTTCGCAGCCCCAAAGGTGTTCGGGTCGTCTAAAGCCAGTCCTGTTTACGTGCCACTCGAAATCACGTCTATAGGTAGGTTTTTCACACTCAACGGGTGGACTCTCAGCAGGATTTGAACAGTATAGTTGTCAATGCTAACCGCAGTCTGCCCATGGTCAAGTATGAATGGAAATTCATTTCATCGTCAGATCCGGGGGTTCTTTTTGCCTGTGCCGAGCACTTTTATATGTAATTTCTCCCAAATAGATGTCTAAGACCGCAGCGCATCTTGCTTTCGATACCCTTCTCCTAACCATTAAACTGTTTACACTCCGGTAAACTTGAGAACACAAGTCCGACGGCGAACACTTATTTTCGACTGATTCATAATCGTGCCTGCACATATCATTTAAGGGTTTATTGGTTGTGGGGACAATTTCACGCTGGGTCCAAAGGTCATTCGGGATGAGGGGAGGGGGACGGGGGAGGTAAGCCCCATGTGTCTGTGTTCGGATGAGATTGATTGTGATTGGAGTGTTGTTGGTGGTGGTAGTGGTGGTGGTGGTGATGTGAGTAATCAATTTGGGGCCAGACTAAGTGGAGGCTTGAACCAGTTGCTTTTGTGCGCGTAGTTCTGGTGCCTATCGCCTCAGCAGTGGTTAATGTGTGTAAACGCATTGCCTTTGAGGTGCTGGGGGAGGGGCACACGATAGATTACGGTGAACGCGGATCTTGGTCCAATTTGATGGACTGTATCCACCATATGGATGACCGAGAATAGCGCCTCCGGCAAACCCTTGAAACTGTTCTTTCATCAGTGCTCTAAATGGTACCAACTAACTCTCATCCAACCATTGATTACAATGTATTCTTTAAACAGTTGTGAATTTTTACTGGTGGGGTTGAAATCAGATCTCTGGACACATCTTCGCGGATGTTGTTGACATATCCGGTTTTGAGTCTTATGTAATCTCTAGTACATCAAGACCAAATGATGTTAGGAGTGTATCGAAGGATCAATAATCCATGTGTTGTTTTATTATGAATGTTATACTGTTAATAACACAGCGATGTCGGTAGAGAATTGTAGTTGCCGACCTTTCGGTTACCGTGGGTCACCTTTCTCAAGGCAAGTTTTACAATCATTCGTCATATCCAAGCGGTTGAATTACCTGGTAATTTCAACCAACCTTGGAATACAAATCAAAATCACTGGGTGTTTGTGCCCCATTACAAAACAACCGAATGTTCCAGTTCTTCTTCATGATGTATTTCTAATTCCTATAGGTAAACAATACGATTTCATTTGGTTACCGCAATCATTATCGTTTCTCAGTTAAAGGGGAAAATTTTTATGATAAGCTGTATACCAACTACTGGATAAAATTCCCCAGAACGGTTTGGCAGTCCTTGCCGTCAGGTATACGTATCCAGCAATCTTCTTGTTATACTTGTACTCTCGATGTGAATTAGACGACCCAAAACCTTGTTGCAGCTCGGGAAGTTGGTCAAATTGAAACAAACAAGCCTCGAAGAATCATTTCGATGGTTCTATGTTAGGTTTCGTGGGTTATAGTCTAGTCTAGAAGAGAAATGAATTCGACCGAGTTAACCGACCACACATGATACAGGTCACCCAACTGGAACTGTGAGATTTATTACCCTTTTGATTTACAATCAAAACAACATTGGAGCCACCACACAATGCACAAATCATCATTGAGCACCACGAAAGACTCACCACACTTTGTTCCAGCTGCACCTCTGTCCAAATCAACGGCAGAGTAAACACCCCGAACTCGGATTCATTGTTCCACTGAGCGCGCTCACGATCCCACTGTTCCACTTCCAGCTGAAGCGATTCCAGCTCGTTGGAAATCAGACGCCANGCCAATCGCGTACGAACGAGACCACGGATGAGGCCAAATCACAAAGTGCCCTCTTCCAAGCAGTCCAGCGAGTAATACACTTGGTGATCTGTGGGCTCAATTCGTTCTGTCCATTTTGTTTTGACTGCTCGTGAGCGGATAAGTTCCCCTCCAACCGGAGTAGCCAACGCAGTCGAACAGCTACTGCCTCAAACCAAGTCTGGCAAACGACACTGAGACACTCGAGATCTTGCATGTTCAGAGAGTCATCTGGAATAAAATACTCTCGTACATTGGCTATGTGATTCTGGAACCAGGCGTCCAGTGAACGAAACACTGCACGTATTTGTCTCATCGACTTGGCGGCTTGTACACGTCTAGTGACTCGTTGTTGCTCCGCGTCACAGTGATGAATTAAATTAAGCTCAAAATTGGCGTGCTGCGACCACAGCAGCTGTTCAGCATCGGTAATACGATCTAGAATTAGTCCATTGTGGACCAGTTGATGTTCAACGTTAGCCCAGATCAGCTGATTGAAATGAGCACCATTCAACTGGACACATCGATCCACAAGTGCATCCAAACGGATTTGTTCCAGTTCGCTCAGACAATTCAGTCGCTCAGTCGGTGGCTTGTCTGCCACGTTCGCTATCCACTGGTCTAATCGACGAATATGCGAGCGCAGTTGCGTATCGTTTAGTTGGACGGACGTATCATAGCGATCAATCCAATTGAATGCCGAATCCAAACCGATCAGCAGAGCTGTGACCCATTCGATTAACTGATCCCAGTCTGCTTCGTAAACGGTGCGGATAGCCTGATAGCGGCGTACCAGAAAGCGTACCCAATCAGGTTCGTTTTGCAAAAAGCCAAGTTCACATGAATGGTTCGCCAGGTCTCCAATTTGTTCGACTAATGCGGCCAAGTGCCCTGAAAGAACGGTAGCGTAGGTGCGACAATGGAAGAGTTGTGAGCACAATCGGCGTATCCAATCCCGCTCGCTCCGGACACTGTCCAACGAATCGCTCGAATTCAACAAAGTCTGAACGATAAAAATTGGTGAGACGAGGGGCTGGGAGGAATCGGTCAACTGCAGCTGACGAGCTGAGAGCCAATGCGCCGGGTTCAAATGGAGATGGGGAACCAGTGAGGCAGGGTAGCCGGGTAATCGATCACACAGGTTTATCGTGTGCCCTGTAGAAAAGATAAGAAGCGATGCAGATAAAATGAGAAGAGCAAATGGTCGGAGAACACAAGGAACGGTGAGGAAATGAAACCTTACATGACACACCATTTAACTAAAACTGAGATGTCCGCGATTATTTTGGACAGGTCGGATGAGTGTGTTAACCGATTTGTTACTTAGTCTATAAGGTATTTAAGAAACTCACATGAAACAAGGAAAAGACTTCCAACAGATGCTACAGTTTCGATACCGCCAATTGACCGCTTGAGACTAGATCAATGACCTATTGCTGTACTACTTCTATACTATCACTATACTATCGAGCTCCTTGGAAGATGAATGTCGGGCGATTTGCATTCCAATTACGATGAATTCACGCTTAACTGTCATCAGTGTTTCAACGGAAATGAGTGTAGACTCTGGTCAAACAGAACATACAAAATATGCATATTCGGTGAATCAAATGAGTGTTTGACTACATAAAAACGTACAACCGAATAAATCCATGTACTTTAATTGACCAAATATGGCTGGTAACTGGATAAATTTATTTGATGATAATTTTCAACGGAAGGATTTTTCGTTTTTATAAAATGAATGAATAATCTTCCAAGTAAAACAATTAATTTACCATGGGAAAGCTCCAGGAGTGATACCATTACTAAGGTGTTTGTCGCAGTTATTGAGCCTTTACTATTGCTGGCTTCTTTGGAAGGATAAGCCGACCTAATAAAGATCATGAAGTTCCATAGGAGTCTGGTACAATACCACCCCCTGGCTTCACTCAGATTTTTGTACTTCGGACGTATCTCTGGCCTGTGAGCAGCTAAGTGTGGACTGATTACCGACCGCTCATTAAAGGATCATTCACCATTCGACTGATGTGAAATCAACCCTGGGCTTAGTGTACCCATCTTGATTATTAGGTGGTAGAGCTCGCCCGTCCTCTCAGGAGTAGTACTGTTAACGGAGGTTTCGGGCGTCGGCTATCCTGAACCTCATTGAGTCCGCCTGTTGAGTTGCCTACCGAGGGGCAACCGAGTCTTGTAGCCACAACTGCGTGTTGGCTGAACAATAAGGAACAAAAGGAGGTAGATACCTCAGGAACACGACAATCTGAAAACTCAGAGATGCCAGGTATACTAATCCATCGTTATGCCTTCGTTATTTGTTTTTCAGTCAGCATTCCTGGTATGTGTAGCCTCCGCCTATCACTTCTTTCACGTTCATTACGGGTATTATCGAACTCATGAAATACCTTGACTTTCGTCAGATCTCTTTCTCCCAAGCATTGTCAGCCTCGTCCGTTGAATTGAATATGGTATTAGCTCATCCCAGACACAGCCTAACTGTTATATTGCCGTTTCTATCACTCGCATACCTCATAAAAGTACGATTTTTCTATTTTGACGACTATTCCTGGTGCATCAGTTGTAATATAAATACATTTCACTGGAAAAGGATTTTAGGACTTTGTTCAGAGAAATCGCTCATAACCATGGCATACGTACTGTGATTTTGTTTCGCCCATACCCTGTATTCTCTCTTTGATTTCTGAGCACTTGGGTCAGTCGTGGCTGCATGAAGTTCATCAAAATGACAATCAAATCGCATTTACCAGTTTCCTTTAGAACATGTTTCACTCTGGCATAGGACTCTCACGCTCGAGGTAGCTAACTATCACTTCTGTCTTCAAAACGAG